CCTGTTGAGATAATTCTTTGATTTTCATGATTTTCTATTTCTTTTTGCAGTGTACAACTACTTACTGGACATTACTACCTGGAATAAAAGCAACAGGAGAGGTTTCATTAAAGTTAAAATAACAGACCATGCTGGAAACACAGTAGAATCAGAGATGAATAGGTATGTTGTGCTTTGTCTTTAAAACTTTTTTCTCACTTTATAGGACTAATTTTCTGAGTTTCCTAAACCTTTTAACTCGTTAACTTAGTATCATGAGGTTGTTAACACCTGTCCATGGCACCTTTTCCTGGATATGGCTCATTGTGAGAGGCAATGCCTCTAACACTGAAATGGTCCTTTCCCTGGTCCTTGCATGGAACTGGATTGAATCCAGCTCTAGCTGTCCTTGTTCTGAATGCTCGAAGCTGATAAATCTTGAAAGATTTCTGATCTCAATAATAATACCTAGCAACAATGAATATTACTCAGCTAACAAACACCTGACTAGAAATAATATTTTTCTTCAGTGAAGCTTCAACATTTCAGCAATACAAGAGAGTCAAAATACTAACTGGATTTTACCAAGACATTGAAAGAATATCAAAAATTTCCTTGACCTTTTCTACGAAGACTTTAATAGGCCCAAAACACAAGCTTAGGATTCTCCAGATGACCCTGAAATCTCTTAATAATCCAGAAAGGTAAGTGTTTGTCGTGTATTAAAGTTGGATATCAACCAAACTGCTTGGGATACACCCTCAGTAAAGTGTATTTCCCTGTATTGATTGTATTGGAACCCTTCAGTTACTGCATGACTGGAACAGGCTTTTTTGGTCTTGTTGCTGAAGGTAAAGACCTTCTAAGGCCAGAACACAGTCTATATCTGCTTACACTTAAAATTGATTTTTTTTTCTTGAAACTTTTATTATTTCTGGTTTAGAAAACTTCAGCAGTATTACTGTATGTTCATTTTTTAAATTTCCAGAGTCACTTGTACAGTAGCACTAGTGATTAAATTTTATATTTGCATCTTGCAAAAATAGCATATTACATGGAAAAGGTAAGAAATATTCAGGAGTAGCAAGAGTACTTTATTTGAGAGTTGTTAATTTGTTTCTTATGAATGGAAGATTCAAGAAAGTCAGAATTTAAAATAAAAACCTAAAAATGTTTATCAAGCAAGTAATGAGTGAGAATAATACTACAACACAAGTAAGTCTTAAGTCAATATATTTTGTTATACTTAGATATCATATTTAAGTCTTTCTGATGTGGTGTGTCATAATAATCTAGTAGGAATTGGGTATTGATACTTTGTAAAAATTATGAAACCTTGTTATATTAATCTACTATTTTATATTTACGGAGAAAGGGAAGGAGGTGGATGGGAGAGACTTAGGAAGAAACAAAACACTCAGTAATCAAAATAGTACTCCAGAAGGTACATATACTTGACTTTATTGACTTGTTGAAGGTCATAAGTCTAAAGCTCTCAGTGAACTGGCATGATTTTATTTAAAAGCATTTGGTGATGAGAGATAGTCAAAGTTCTAAATCACATTTCAATTTTACTTCTCAGCCTAATGGTGATAAATCAGAAGATATATTTCATGTAAGGCTGTCAGCATTTGGGACTTCTTCAGATAATGATCTAGCAAATAAGAAAGGTTTTCGGTGAACAGCCCTTATTGGGTTTGAGTTTTCATTCCTGTTAGTCTCACTCTTGTTAGTTTAAAAGTAAAATGCACTTGATACGCTTTAATATAGGAACCACTGAAGTCCTACATATGGAGCCTCATCAGATTGCAGTCGTGTCAGCATGTTAGATACTTTCAGATAGCAATGAAAAATAGTGTATTGAATCAGAATGTGAAGGCAATTTAAATGCAGATGTTACAACACTATTGGTTGGCATAATTACATAATTGCTCTTTGTAATTATAATTACTTGTATTTACCTTAGCTTCATGTAATTACAACAATTACTTGAATGAAGGATGATCAACTAGAAATTACATTGAAAATGTTTAAATCATTCAAAAGAAAGTCATAGGTAAAAGTGAGAGGACAGGTGCAGGGATAAAAGACAATAGGATTCTCTGTCTCCCCATATCTGGGTTAATAGCAAACTGTGGGAGTTTGGGGAATGTCACTGACAATTGTCTGCTGGGCTGACTATCCACTATCCACACAGATGGTGTGTAAATTTGGAAGTGCTAAAAGATATTTATAATTTTCAGACTCTTCTGGATTCTGAGATAAATCATTTCTGCTCTCCCATGAAACTGGAAAGCTTTGCTAACCTGTGCATGTCCAGATGTCAGCTGTACCAAAGAGCTCATGATCCTGTCAGTCAATTCAAACTCGATTAATGGGGAAGCTGAATGTCCCAAAGATGCTTAGCCCAGACATCTTCGGGTTTTTTAACCAAAACAAGAACAGTCATAATAAAGAAAGATGTTATTAATACCTCTTTTTTACAAGAGAGTGTGGAATGCCCATGTGTTTTAGCAAAGACCAGAGAAGCCACATGGGGTGGGGGATTATGAAAGCCTCACCTGTCTAAAACATCAGTAGTGTTTTGCTCCTTGCTCAGGGCTGCTCTCCTGTAAGGCATTCTTGGTGCTCAATAACCACAAGCTGAGATGAATTGCACTTCAAATGAGACACAATATGTTGGAAACCATATGCTTTTATTTCTATAATTCATCACTATGTTTTGTCTAGGTATTTTGTCCCCTGTGGCTAGATAAAAATAATACTACAAAAATAATATAATAGTAAACCATTAAAGTCCAATCAAAACGAATTGTGGATGAAAGGCTGGATGAAATTCTATTTTACTGTATGTTACATCCCAGGCTGAGGCTGGGGATTGTGTGGTGTAACTACATATGTGAGTTCAGAGAAACAGAGAAGATAATTTTAAATAAAATCAGTATGTATCATAGCTTGTATGCCCTTAGAGATGCCATCAGAGGGTACAGCAGTCACTTTCTGGTTCAGATCATCTCTCATAATTCATCTATAGTAGTGCATGAAGAACAGAACTGTGACCTGCCTCTGCCCTAGAAGGTGTTGCATCTATTTTGACCTCAAAACAAGTGAGATTTTGTGTATCCATGATTCCCTTCATGACCTCTTTATGTGTTTGTGTACTATTATGCAGTTTTGGGGTTTTCTAGGTGTTTAGAAGACAAACTACTCTCTTGCATTAAACTTTCTCACACATGCTGTCGTTGCAAGGGAAAGAGAAATACTATGTTGTAATTTTCTACTTTCCTCTGTGAAATGAAAGCAGAAACACTTTCCTACCTAGGGAACTTAAAATAAATTATTCAGGCCCAGTGTTAACAGGAATTGTGCAGATTTTGTGCCATGGTGCTAAAGAGTTGTTTTGAATTCAGATTAATAGCTGTAGTGGATGAAATGTTGCATATTCATACTTAAGACTAGTGTGATACACTTCCTACTCCTGCCACTTTGCACCATACAGCTGATGTATGGTTGTTTTTCTCAGTCTGGCAAAATTACTCTAGGGATGCATAAAATAGGGTGTAAACTCAGACAAGAAGACACTTCTTGCTCTGAGTACCATCTCTGAGAGCTGGTAAATACCGGAGGTTTAATAATTCAAATAAGGGAATATTTTTCTGTTAATGTAAACTTTTTCTGTTGTGCAATTTTTTTCTTTTTCTCCTTTTGTAGGTTGCAGCTGTGTAGATATGATTTTGTACTGATGGAGAACACTGAACTGACCTTCAAACCTATCCCTTGCTCTGAGAAGGGTACCTGAAGAGAGAGCAACTACTAACTTCATTTCTCTTACAACATTGACATTTTGATGCTTCCTCAGGATAACAACTGCAATGAGAAAGGAAATGAGATAAGCTAGATTTATTTTCAAGTCTACCTGGTAATATGCATTACCTGCTTTGAGTGCCTTAGGCTGAAATTAATTGAAAAGTTCAGACATGTATGTGTGTGGGAAATTATTTGAATAAAGTAAATGTATCATGGTGGAGAACATATAATGGTCTGTTCATCATTATTTGTTAGCAGTGAAGCAACTACTGAATTAAATATGAATTATCTGCATAATCCTGGCACATTATTTGTCTTACATATATTTATTTATTATTTGTAATGGCTTTTACATGGAAACATAATTATCTGTCTACTAAGTGAATTTAATATACTGCATATGTGGCCTACAGATCTAATACACGACAGTTTTGCTGTGCTGTGTTCACTGGATAAATGAATTCACATTTTCCCATTATGTAATGTCTCAGTCTGAGAACTGCAACAATAACATTGTGACCACATATGTAAATTTGCTATTTAAATCAGTTGTCTTTATGCCCATTGTAGATGAATGTTATCACAACATTCAGTTTTAATTTTTTTAATGAAAGCTACGGACAGGGCAGAGTTGTTTGAGATGCGAAGTAATTCTAAAGCCTGTTTTGAACAGAACAACTTAAAAGTTAAATAAATGCATTTTAATTTTTTTTCTGGTTGGACCTTTTGGAATTAGAGGTGCTGCTCAGGTTGAGGTTGATGCCAGCTTTTCACCTATTGGGATGTGAACAGGAATAAATGCTACATAAAGATTTTCTCCTTCAGTTCAGAAAAACGTTCTCCAGTCCCAGATTGCCTTTCCTGATGGAACTGACTGAAGAACAGAGAGGTGTATTTTTCTTCTGTAAGGTTGTTGTATTTAACACTGGTTTCTCATGTAAAGGAATGACACTATCCCTTTCCTTTCTTTCCTGTGACCCTGCTGTCCCTGCTCTTGACAGCAGTACTTGGTTAAACCTGTTTAAACAATTTCATCTGAATGTCAATGGAATGGGATGTCTAAACCCTCTGAATTGTAAGTTTTACTGGAAGCCACCAGCTGGGTTATAAGGAAGCTGGAAGATAATGTCCTAAGGAAGGGAAAGCAAGTTTTCACTGCAAGAGGAAGCTCCAGCATTCTGGTCAGCACAGGCAAAGCTCTGAACCAGCCATTGCACATGCTTTTACTTGTCTAGTCAGAACAAAAAAGAACAGAATCGTGGACAGACGTGCTCACGGACTGACTTTTTAAAAAGAATATTTATTCTATGGAGATGGTAATTGCATTACCATAGGTTTTCTCAGGTGGTGTCTTACTCAGCTTTATCATTTTATTGTATACATCTTTGTTCCTTTTCTCTGAGAGAATCATTAGGAGATACACAGGAAAAGATGTTTTTGTCTGCTTATATGCATGTATATGGAGGGGTAGAGTTTGTTTGTTTGTTTGTTTGTTTGTTTTAATTTCTCCTGTCTTCTGTTTTTTTGAAACTGCTGTTACTCTGCTTGTTTCATTCTGCAGGTTTTTGTCAAGCCTTTCTCTTGTCAACTCTACTTTTCCCTTAACAGGTCTCTGAGCCTTTTTTCTTTCATTGTCTTGCCTCCAAATACTTATTTCTTATATCCCTTTAAAAAATACAGAGACCTGAGACTAAATTTCAAGTGTCTGGAACTAGAATCTTCCAGTGTGTGGTACAGTTCAGGCATAGAAATGTATCAGATGTACTCTTAAGTTTCCTTTTGAGGTTGCTTTCTACAAATTCTCCAAAGTTTTATATTTTTCTATGTTTAAAAAATATATTTTAAATTTTTTAATGGATTTTACGTCCTGAAATACTGAAATACAGAAGCATGAATATGTTTTTGACAATAACAATTTTATTTTGGTTGACATATTCAATTGCAAGTTAATATATGGAAAAAAATTAATGAAATTGTATTAGCTCTAAATTGGCAGCATAGAGGGTAGATACACTGCTCTTTCCAGTAATGGAACTGAGTGCTTGCTTATTACTGCAGCTATTATTGATGTAGTTGTCAAACAAGTGGGGTTTTCCCCCTATATTTTGGATTGTTTACACATACAAGCGTGATTTTTAATAGCTTACTTTATTTAAAGTCAGACACAAATGAAAGTGTCCTGAGGTTGGCATTTGCACTATAACCTATATCCTTTGCCATCTACTAGCTTCCAAATTTGGGATGGAGCTCTGGTAATGCAGCCCTTGGAAAGGAGAATTTGCACTAATATTTGCTTTTAGGCAGTGGTTGTAATTTCTATACACCAGACCACTCACCCCCTGCATCCTTTATGTAAACATGCTGGCCAAATGGTGCCTACACAAGCAGTCAGGGTATACTGAGTTGTGGGGTTGGGCATGAGACACAAGCAAGAAAACGTGCAGAACCGAGGACTGAAACACCGTCCTAGAATTTTTTGTTACAAGTGGGAGGAAAATATGTGAGGTGAGGTGCTGTTGAAAAGCTGCAGGGAGGCGCACAGACATGACTAAATGTTGCTCAGTGGTGTGGTATAAAGGAAATAATAATATTTTCCCACATTTTAAACATCCTATGAAAAAGGGAAGGACAGGAATTGTGATTCTTTTTTTTTTTGCCTTGCTTTTGACAAGCTTTGGGTAAAAACTAAGCAGTGCGGTTATAACAGAGGTTCCAACAAACAACGTGAGGCAGAAGGAAACTTTCCTTTTCTAATTTCCAATTTGAGTTGGTAATTTCCATTTTGTAAGAAGGACTGTTCCAGGCAGTGCATTTCCAGCACATAATTGCACTTCTCAAGTGGCTAAGCACTTGGACTGTAGCCTTGTGTCTCCCAGCACCAACAAAATGGGCTGTAATTGTTCGGAAATGCAGTGCTTTCTGTGGCTCAGTGCCACATGCTACTTTGTGCTAATTGTGTCAGCTCCCTCAGACTCAGCAGAAGATGCCACAGTCAGGCAGAAAATTAAGTCAGTCATAAAATGAAAATCTTCCAGGGAGTTCCCTGTTCTGAAGCAAGGGGTGATGGCAGTTCAGTGGATCAAACTGCATCAGAGCCGAAGAGAGGATGGACTCAGTGCAGCTCTGTTTGTGCATCTGCTGTCAGAGTACAAAATACCCACTAGCATTTTTTCACTGGGGAAATTCAGAATGGGCTAAAAAACCCAAATCAATTTCCTTTAAAAAAATCTTAAATGAAGAAATAGGTAATTTCAGACTAGCTTGACTTGAAATGAAATATTTGCTTTATACAACTGCCCTAAGTGCTCTGACTTTCTCTCGGTTCACTATTTGGCAATAAGCCCTGGCCTGCTGGGTGGCCTGGTGATACCACTGGGTTTTGGTTTTCTCACCTGTAAAATGTAAAATTGTCCAGTCAGGAAGCACTTCTCAATCTGTAATGATAAATTTTGTTAATTTTATTTAAAAAATTTGCTTATATCTAGTTTGTTAAACAGTAAGGAATAATCCCTGCACATGTGAAAAAGGATACATCCCATGAGTAAATGTAGACTCTGTAATTAACCACTGTATTGTAGTAATACCAAAGGGATCTAATTAGTATTTACTTATAGGAATGAACTCTGTTTCCATCAAATGCAACAAACTTGAGAGTTTTAATGCTGTATTTATATTTAGTGTTTTGTCACAAGGAGATTAAACTGTTAAGTGACAGGTTTATAAAACACATACAAACTTGTTCTTCCTGTGGGTTTTTTTTTTTTAGATCTGATCAATATTTGATAAATTCATCTTTTCTTTTAACTACTCTGTTTTGAATGACATGACAGGGAGGATATGTCCAGAAACTCATTAAGCACTAAGAGTCACTGGAGCAAGCAGGAGACTACTTAGATAAAAGACAACTTATATAATACAGGAGATGTGCACTATCTTACTTCACAATAGATTGGAATGCTCTAGATTAAAGATATGTAGGACAAGAGCATTTGCTAGTTTAATTCGGGATGGGTTTATTGATTTCAGTGATGCTATAGACAGTTAAGGCTGTGGTTTATGATCTCTGCCTTGGATAAGGATTGATTTCACATTGGAATTACTTATTTTTATAAGGTGAAGTTCAGATACATGATGGTGGAATTAATGGCTAAGTTTACATGCAGCTAAGTGGAAAGCAATTTAATAAGGAAATGCTGTAAGAAGGTCAGGTATCTTTTTAGGAAGAAAAAAAGCACTGTAAAAACATCTGCTCTTTTATGCGACTTTTGTAAATAGAGTTATAGGTTGCTTCAAAAGGAGAATTTCAGGGTTGTTAATAATCACATGAGGCAATAATGTCCAGAGGGAAAGTGATGGGCCAATACAGTGCAGCTGGTATGAAAGAGGAAGGAAGGATTCAGACATGGGGCCATAATGAGGTGCTAAAACAGGATAAGTCCAGAGTCAACTTCTGCATTTGAAACCTGCCACTGACAGCACACAGTGTGTACCTCAACTTGGTTTTTTACTGTGAAGTTTCCAGTGTTTCTTCTGAGCATATTCAGAATTGGACTAAGACTTACTGGGATAGAGAAAGTACAGGCTACCCCAGCAAGGGGAGTATTCAATGAGAGAGGAGCTCCTGGGTGACTGGCCTTACTGCAGGGGCTGTTATTATATTTTCAATATTAAATGGTAAATGTGTAAAATGGCCTAACTCTTAAAAGTTGTTCTAAAGTGCAACTGAACTGTCTATCCTTTCTCACAAGGTAAGAAGCAGCCTGTATGGTCCTACTGATGCATTGTACCAAGAACCAAAGCATAAACTATAACTGGAAATTAGAAAAATGTGTTAAGATTTTAGAAGAAATTAAAAAGCTGTCAGAAGAGGGCAGCCTTTTCACATAAACTATAAACCAACAACAATACTGAAAATATCTGAAATTATTCCTTTCACTATAGTTAAACATGCCAGTGTGGGGTTAACCTTGTTAGGGAAACCGGAACATGCACAGAACTTGATCACAACAAGAATGCTTCTCTTTTGTGCTATCTTCAAAGGACAGATGCCTGGCTTTGTAGCAGTATTTTTTTCCTGTTATGTTCAGACAATAGAGTTAGAAATGATTGTAAGGTGAGTCAACAAAGGGAAATGCAATCATCCTTCTCTTTATTTTTATTTATAGTTAAAGAGAAATGAACTTTAGGTATTAAGGGCAAAATATACCTGCTTAAATATTGCAGAGGTAAGCCAATTTTTAGATTAAGAATGAACAAAGAACTAGAAAATTAAATGAATGATGCTTTATTAATGTATTCTTAATCATATCAATCTGTCTCAGTATTTATTTAAATACAATATGTAGTAATGAAGACTGTTTCAAATAGTGAAATTTATGTCATAAACAGTTGGCAAACTACACTGGTTTCCTACAGAACTCACTGCAGTCAGACTCAGTTACAGCTACCCTGTAACTATTCCAGTGAATTTAACACTGCAGGGGAAAATGCACTGCTGAAATTTGAATGAACATAATTTTTGAACTGACAAAAAGAGATTATGGAGTTGTGTTTGTTTTAACTTGAGATTCCTGAAAGGAAGGAGTAGCCCTGTGGCTGTGCCTCTTTGTGAGAAATTAGCCTGTAGTAGGGCAAGAGCTCCAAAGGTG